TTAAAAATGAGTTTTACTATAAAGTTGTCTTATTGATTATACACCGAGTAAACTTCTTCAAATATTGATTACTTTTTTTCTCAATTTTTATTTATGTTATGTAGAAAGGAAATCTTGTGCAGCTCGATTTTTTTTACAAACTCGTGCTCTTATCTGTATGGGATATATTAAACAGATCCGGGCTGTCAAAAGAAAAAAGCAAGTGGACAACAAAAGCAGCATAATATAGTTTCCCTTCCAATCAAAACTCTTGTTTGACAACCTAAAGCTTGTGAAAAACTACTAACTGCTTTGCAAAACCTATATGCTATTAGAAAAACCAGTTTTTTTAGTTTTACTGATTTGATAAGAGGATTGAGTTTATTTGTTTTGTAGCTGATCAAAGCGCATAATCTGCCAAACAAGTTTTTCACCCATCATTAACTTCGTAGTCTATATGTTTACAACATTTATCTGAATTTAAGCAAAAGAGAGAAACGATTCTTGCAATTCCAGTTCTCCAATAATTTTTCAGATATTACTGGCTTACTGCAATGATACTGCAATGAACCATTAGTTGATTTTTATAAAAATTAACAGTGTGAAATTATTTATACAAGGTATCAAAATTTCTACATTTTTACTATTTATAAGTTCAAAAAAATTTGAAGCTTAAGTAATTTAGGGCGTTGCCTTGTGTTGCGCATCTTCGGGAGGACATTTGGAAATAGTAAAATATTTGTTGGAACAAGGAGTTTCTGTTCATGCGAAAGACAAAAAACAAGTGAGCAAATGTTTAAAGCGTATATAATGTTTTTCTCCGTTGTCAAAATCTTGATTCATTATGATAATAAACTGGCTAAAAGCAAATCTGTTTGGTACAAAATTTCATTTATTCAAAAGTTGACAGAAGTTCAATACATCTATGGAATTTTAGCATGCTGTTGCATTTATAGAACAAAACAATATGGTATTTGTTTTATAATCGTAAACAGAAATCTAAAAAAAAAATTATGCAACTTCCAAATAATTTTTGCCCGTTTGTTAAACTAGGGGACCCTATTGAAATTGAGAAGATTCAAAAGCTGACAGTAGCAAATTGTCTTGATACTGGTCATACAGCTAAAATTAATTTGTATTACTAGAAACCTATTAATTTTTAAAAGCAAAAGATAATATAAAAGACCATTACTGATTGTTTTGGCTGCCAACATTGTTTTTTAGCGAACAGCTTTGTGGTTAGCTTCTTCGAATGGACACTTGAATGTGGCGAAGTATTTATTAAATAAAGGAGCAGAAGTTAACGTGAAAGACAAAAACAGGGTACATTTTTACTTGATAAAACTTCCTCATTAACTTTTTTTCTTAGAAGAGCATTGTTTAATGCAAATAAATATAAACATTGTCAGAAATCTTAATCAATTAAGGTTTTGACTTACCAGTTCTGTTTGTATGATCAGGTTTCTAATTGTTGCTTTAGCAAATTAACGGACTTTAGTCTTTTTTTTTTACTTTAATCAGTCTTAAGCCGTAACTTCTTACTTTCAGAACAATTATAAAAGAATAAAGAATTAGGTTCAAGATAAAAATTATAAGAAGAAAGGTATTTACAGCTTTATATCAACTTAACAAGAGACAATTACCTCTACACACCGTATCAAAACTTTTTGTTTCAGTGAGATGAAATTTTACTGAAAAAGTATTTGCAAGAAAGTAAAATTAGATACATATTGCTTAACACAAAAAGAATTAACTAATTTAGTAACTAAAACGATTTCCTTCATTTTTTTTTGTTTTTTCAACTTTACAAAGCTTGTTTCAATTTTTTAATGACGACATTTCTAGTTCTAATAGTTACTGCGGTACCTACACTACCTATGTTTTTATTGAAAACGTTACTATAGTTACTTTTTTTCAGAGAAGTCCGATTGATGTCGCAAGTTCGGAAGATATTGTCGACCTTCTTAAACGTAAATAGAAATTTTTTTAATTTTTTTAGTCATTTTTACAATAAAAAATCTTGATTTTTATTTGAAACGATTGATTAGCAAAAAATTTGTAAAAAAAAAGAGGCAGTAGAACATTTTTTTGGTGAAAAAAAAAGATAATATTGAAAATCTGGAACTTGAAAGCAGTAAACCTTATACTTTTTAAAAGAGCCAAAAGAGAAACTGGTTGTTGGGCATAACCTTAGTAGACCTCAAACTGTCCTCTGTCGTTTATTCTTTCAGCGCATTATAGGGTCAAATAGCAACTTTTTTTTTTACAACTTCTCTAATTTTTTCAACGGTATTTATATTACTGGTTATATTTACAATTTGATTTTTGTTTAGGAATGTGATGCAATACAAAAACAGTTTTTTGTTGTGTGAAGTGATAATTTAATGGCATTTTTAGTGATCCTTTACAGGGCGTTTACTTTTTATTGCTTCTCTTGTTTTAAAGTTTTTTGGAAACATTTTATTAAGACTGTACCAGTTGCTTTGAACGATTATTTTAGTTTAAGAACGATCTTTTTATGTTGGCAACTCTGGACCATCTCAAGTCGTTTTCAATTATATATTATTTGGTAGTGCAAGCCAAAAACTGCACTTATCAAATATGAATTTCTAATATAGAAACGCTTTTAAAAAGGCCTTTTTCGTCAGTTTAGGAAGATAACTTTTGCTTTCAGAGAAGAGCTTTGCTACAATGGCTTAAAAGTCTTAAGAGTGCGTTGTAATAGTGCTAGAAAACATTAGTTGCCTTTTTTAAACGAGCTTTAGTCGGTTTCCAGAGAAAAAAAATGTAAAAAAAGCATTTTGAATACCGGATTGCCACTGGAGAAGCTACCAGCTGCTATACTAAAAAGCAATAAAATCAGCTTGAGAATTAGAATATCTCTTAAAAAACGGTGTTTAAAAGTGAAAAGTTTTTTAAACTCGAAAATACATCTTATAGAAGAAGCAGAGTGTAAACTACTAAAATGGTGTTTGAGTTTCTTAGTCAGCGTATTGGCTGATTCAAGTCTCCTGCAACAGTGAAGAAAGCAGGATTGAATTGGTAAGTTTTATTTAGGTGTGGAAGAAAGACGTCAGCAAGAAAGATCAGATCTTGAGTATGCAAGAAATCTTCAGAGAGAATGTGAGCGTGAGGGTAAGATTTGCGTGTATTTTGTATTACTGCTATGTATTTCGACTGTATTTCGTTTCTCCATTTTGGATCAAGTTAAAATACACAATGAGACATGCAAAAAGCTATTTATAGGTAAATATATGCAGAACCTAGCACTTTTTTAGCCACTCGATTCAAAAATAAATCTAAAGAATTGTCAAGAATTTTTCCGCACTGTGCTGTATCAAATTTGTTCCAGAATTCGCTTTTAGTAATGATGAGGAGCCACGCCGAAGAAGCTCTGGAGCTAATCTATGTGATCCGGTTAGCATTTTCGCTATAAATTTTAAATCTTTTTTCCTTAGAAAAGTTTTTTTGTTTTTTTTTATTTTTTTGTTTAAATAAGATGGAGGGGAGCACTAAGCATTCAAAAAAGACTGAGTCGTATGTAAATAACTTGCAGTACTGATCGACAGTCAGTATACAAATGACTGTAGAGTAAGTGTTTGAAAAGTTTACTCAAACTCGCTTAAAAGTGTTTTCTGACAGTCATTACTAAACCATTTTTTTTATAAAAATTCACATTTGTGGA